TCATATGCAACTCCCACTCAAATCCAACCCTCTCACTCATGTATTTCTTTCTTTCTTTCAACGCACCAGCTGTATCCCACTGAGGTGGGGTGGCCCAAAAGGAAAAAATTAAAGTTTCTCCTTTTAAATTTAGTAATATATACAGGAGAAGGGGTTACTAGCCCCTTGCTCCCGGTATTTTAGTCGCCTCTTACGACACGCATGGCTTAAGGAGGAAGAATTCTGTTCCACTTCCCCATGGAGAACTCATGTATTTATCCAACCTATATTTGAAACTACCCAAGGTTTTAGCCTCAATAACCCAACTAGGCAGACTGTTCCACTCATCAACTACCCTATTTCCAAACCAATACTTTCCTACATCCCTTCTAAATCTAAACTTGTCCAATTTGAATCCATTACTGTGGGTTCTCTCCTGGAGAGATATCCTCAAGACCTTACTAATATCCCCTTTATTAATACCCATCTTCCACTTATACACTTCGATCATGTCTCCCCTCATTCTTTGTCTAACAAGTGAATGTAATTTAAGGGTCTTCAATCTTTCTTCATAACAAAGATTTCTAATGCTATGTATTAATTTAGCCATTCTACGCTGAATGTTTTCTAACAAATTTATGTCCATTCTGTAATATGGAGACCTGAACTGAACTGCATAATCTAGGTGAGGCCTTACTAATGTTGTATAAAGCTGAAGTATAACCGCTGGACTTCTGTTGCTTACACTTCTTGATATAAATCCCAGCAATCGATTTGCTTTATTACGGACGCTTATCGTAAGCCGAGGTTCCACTGTAGTCTCATATGGTACAATGTACGACATGGTGCCACGAGCATGCAGGTCACTGCATCAGCCCAATGCAACAGCAAATGTGTAAAGATCCTAGGATAACCCAAAAAAAATCTGGATGACTTATTTCCATTGGGATCCCTGTACCATATGGTACCCTGTAGTATTTGGTACAGGGTACCATATGGTACATTGTACTATACAGTACTGTTGTATCTAACACAATAACCGCACTAATATTTTCATCATTATTTTACTTACAATAAACTTGTAAACAAGTTTTGTAAGCAATACAATGATAAACAAATTAGTGCAGTTATTGTGCTGAATACAATGAGTGTACAATTATACATTATATTGGTCTCACAGGCCACAAAAGTTACTGGAAAAAAAGTATTAGAAAAGAAAAGAAAAAAGTAACAAGAATGTAAAATAAAATAATGCAACTTTATGGAAGTCGCGGATGTTGCCACCACCCGGTCACTGAGGGTCAACTTCACGCCTCTGTCTCGGTAACTACTGATTGAATTTTTTTTCTTTTATTACCTACAGAAAATTATCTTTAATTCTGTAAGAATTTTTTTTTTTTTTCAGAAATTCTTGGACCCTGGCTAACATTTTGAGATTTGGCCTCTGGACCCTGAAAGGGTTAAATGAATAAATTACAAGTTTCTCCATGTGGAAGTGGAACAATATTCTTCCTCTGTAACCCATGCGTGTCGTAAGAGGCAACTAAAATGCCGGGAGCAAGGGGCTAGTAACCCTTTTTCCTGTACAAATTACTAAATTTAAAAAAAGAAACTTCAATTTTTCTTTTTGGGCCACCCTGCCTTGGTGATACAGCTGATTTGTGCAACAAAGGTATACAATACCGACAAGATGAAAGTTAAGACACATGTGAAAAATCTGGTTATCTTTATTGTAGATGTTTCACCATCCAGTGGCTTTTTCAATACAGATTCTAGGACATAACTAGAAGACAGTAGAACTATATATAAAAGATGAGGTAAACAGTCCCTCAGCCTTGGAGTGGAGAGCACTGTGGTCAAAGTTATTCGAAGATATTCAGCTGGTTTGTTGAAAGAAGAAATTACAAGTTTGCATACTGCTATAGCTTCAATCAGACACTAACTTTTTTGTGTATATATCATTTGTGGTAAACATTACCAAGACCCCCCAATGACTGAAAAAAAAAAAAAATTCTTTGCTGTACTCACAAAACAAAGTTAATATTTCTTCAACCAACATCTTACATAATGAAAGTAATTTCTTCCCCATTTATGCAAACTCTGTTCCCTGTCTCATTCACACCTCTAACCAGGAAAATTTTTTTTATTTCATGTACTTCTACTTTCCTCAACAATTTCGGTTGTGGAACTCTAGGAATTTAGTCTCATAATTTTGCTGGGAGCCAAAACTAGTCAGCAACTTTACACAGCTCTTTGGTTATTACTTTCTGGCTATTACTTCTAGAAATGCATTAATCTTTAGTAAATGCTGGTTGCATTTATCATCTTCAGTTATATTGCTCTTCTTTGCTTGTTTTGATCAAATGTTGTATCTTTGGTCCACGTTTGTTTGGTGAAGTAGTAGTGGGTATGTATTTATTTGGTATACAGTGGAACCTTGGTATGCGACCTTAATTCATTCCAGAAGGCTGTTCAAGTACCACTCCATTTGAGTATCTAACAAGTTCTTCCCAGCCAATTTTCTGTTTGGTTGGCTGTTATCACTAATCGTCGTAGGCCCTATGGTGACTTATTTATACAAATAATACAGTGGACCCTTGGTTACTGGCCGTAATCTGTTCCAGAAGGTCGACCTAAAACCGAAATGGTCGAAAACTGAAAAAATATTTCCCATAAAAATTAATGTAAATACAATTAATCTGTTCCAGACACTCCAAAAAATTAACAAAAAATACATTTTTAAAGATTAATTATAGTTTCACATAAACAAAACAATGAGAACTAAATAAAATAAATAAATGAACATTTAAATTACTATTACATACCTTTGTTGAAGGCTCTTGTTGGCTTATGGAAGACAGGTGGGACAAGATTTTGTCAATGAACATGTTGCAGATATGGCTTGTTTCAGCTTGGTCAGGGTGATATTTCTCCACAAAAGTTTGCACCTCATTCTACTTTGCATAAATGTCTTTAATCACTGAAGAAGGCACCTTCTCCCCTTTCTCTTTCTCCTCAATGAAGGGTGGTGGTGGGTGGTAGTATCAGTGTTGAATGATGGTAGTGTCAGTGTTGAGTGGTGCTAGTGTCAGTGTTGAGTGGTGCCAGGATGGAAGTGATTATTGATTGTTTTTCCCATACATCCTAGAAACTTTCTTTGGGGCCATGGTTACTTATTTTGCAACCGTACTTAATGAATAACCACCAAAAACAATGAATTATAGCGAAATGTTTGGATGAATGAGCAGAAGCTTCCTCACTCTCCCAGAGACACAGCCAGAGTGGCAGGAGTGGCTGGCGGGTTGATGTGTCCCATACGGCTGATAAGCTAAATAATGGCTGGTAACTGAAAGCCCAAAAACCGGCCTATAACCAAGTTGGCTGATAACAGAGACACCCGATAACTGGAGGTTCACTGTACAAAAAAAAAAAGGCATAGAAACACGAAATAGTTCATAGCAAAGTTCTGGCAGGTCGTATTAGTTTGGTCGAGTGCTGAGCTTTGTTCGAGTAGGGAGCTGGTCGTATACTGAGGTTCCATTGGAATTTTATCAAAGTACTATGTGGATTTTAAAATTGCAATTGTGTGTAGTCATCAGAAGCTTATTCTTCAGTAAACATGTCAAAGTGTGCTTCACTACTCAGCATTATGGCTACCAGAAGAAAGTCAAGTTGTACACTTTTTTTTTTTTTTTTGAGGGAGTGGTAACAGGCTTTTGGATCACCACCTTATTTTTCCTGTGTGTTGTTCACTCCACTTAAGATACATACACTACATGCCGATTCTCAGGAACACAACCATCCTCCCCTTCCCTTTCCCCTTTGTTAACCCTTTCAAGGTTGGTCCCTTAACAATACAGCTTTGAAGCAAGAGTCAGTCACGTAATACTATGCCAAAATTCTAGCTGATTCCAATCTTGCAGGAGAAAGCTGGTAGGCCTACACATTAGAGAATGGGTTTGCAAGGTCAGTGTGCACAGTATAAAAAAAATTCTGCAGCACAAAGGACATGAGGAAAAAACAAATGCAACTGTATTTTTGGAGTAAAACAGCAACTTTGTAGTGCATTTTTGTATGGATTTCATGGTTGTATTCTCGATTTCTTGGTCTCATTTGATAGAATGGAAGATATATTACAGAAATAGAGATGATTCTGAATTGTTTACAGACTAAAAGTAGTTTGAAATTAAGCTCAAATTAACAGAAATGTTCGATTTTTGCTGATGTTCAAGAGTAAACAAATCATGTCACACATCCAATACACATCAACTTGCCAGTCAAATATGCACTCACGAATGCAATGACATTATTTATACAATTATTACCATTATGAAGTAGTTTGAATAACAGTAAATCTTCTATTTCTCGTGAGAATAAAAATTAAAAATGAAAGCAAGTGTAATATAAGAGGGGCCTGGAGACATGACTAATGATCAGAGAAAATGTTATTTTAGTGCCAGGAATGTCTACATTATTTATTTTGGACTGTATTTTTGGCCTTGAATTTTGTGTGAAATTGGCCAAATTAGTAATTTCTGATCACTTTATTGGGTAGCTGAAATAGGTAAATGGGCAGTTTCTTGTACTCAATCGATAGAATAAAAGGAGTTCTAGCTAAACAGCTATGAGCATGGTGAAATGAAACAATGGAATTGGCTCAAAATAGGGCTCAAAGTGGGCGAAATCGCAGATGCGTAAATATCGTTAGGACCACTAACTTCGAGATAGCATAATTCAATAAGTTTTCCATCCAATTTCATGCTTTTGGTTTCATTACCTTTGAAAAAGTTTCTTTACCATTTCATGAGTTTTTTTTTAAATACAGCGATTCGGGAACTAAGTTTGCGAGCAGGGTCTCAACCCTCAAAGGGTTAAGGATTTATCATACTCTGAATGAGTAGCTAAAAAAAAAAAAAAAAGTGTTTTATAAAGTTATGCAAATTTTATATTAATAAAAGCTAATAACATTCAATAACTTCACAGAGGGTTAAAAACTGGCATTAAAAGGAGCCATAATTTACCTGTAACCACAGTTAGCAAGGTCTCGACTGATCTTCTCATAAACTTTACATGTCTCAATGCCTCCCAGACGATAGTGCATTAAAAAATCCAGGAGGAGATGTGCTGCTCTATGGCTCCAGTATGGAACCAGTTGATCAGTGTCCACTGGCAATGGATCAGGAGTAAAACCAAGAGTAGACTCAGTTTCTTCCAAAAGCTGCATCTCTACTACGAAAGGAAATGGATTCTGAGACTGGAACCCTCGACGTAACAGTGCAATGTGATTCTCAATCTGCAATGATTCATTTGCCTTAATAACACACTTATTATATTTTATAGGAATACAATGCAAAATTTAATCGAGTAAAAAGAAATGCGGATAGAGGATGATTGAGGATTATGAGTCATGGTAAGTAATAATAAAAAAAATGACTAAAAAGAAATGTCAAAACACATACTGGTATGTTGTTTTTCCCTTTTAACTTTGATGGTATGGTTCTCACTGCATGTTCCAGTCTTGGGTACTACAATAGTACCCCGAGTTTCGGCCATTATTCATTCCAGAAGGCTGTTTGAGTGCCGTAACTGAATGAATTTGTTCCCATGAGGAATAATGTATATGTATTAGATTAGTCCATTTCAGACCCCCAAAAATACTTACAAAAGGACTTACAATAATACACTTTGTAAAGTAAAAGGACACAAGTACAACTAATGTGACATTTTTATTGTGGCAACTTTTCGCTCTCCAGGAGCTTTGTCAAGCTGTTATGGCTTGACAAAGCTCCTGGAGAGCAAAACGCTGCCACAATAAAAATGTCACATTAGTTTCACTTGTGTCCTTTTACTTTACATACTGTCGGTAATTCTACCAACTTTATTACAATAATGCACTTACATAATTGTTCGAGTTGGGAGCTGTACGAAACTCAGGGTACCACTGTACTTTCATTCATGAATGGTCGTCCTCAGTCCCTGAAACATTTTCACCAGCCCTCTCCACAGGTTATTTAAACCACTTCTATAAAAATAGACAATTTACAGAATGTACAAATTAGGAATTCTCTTATTCATAACATAAGCATGCACACTCTTAGCTGCTCTGATTGAACAGCCACATGGTCCCTTTTGAAACAATTAGCCCTCCTTTTCTCTTGATGACCTTAACCCAGTGTTTTGACACACTGTAGTCACCCTGGGTATAATAATTACATCATTTTCTAGCACATATCTTACCTAAGAGGCACTCACATCCTGCTCAAACACAAGGAGGAGGAGAAACAGTTCCTACCGGCTTGGAGTCACCGAGGTGAGAGAGAAAGAGAGAGGCTCAGCTAAGCTCCTCCCTTTCACCCACCAAAACAACAAAAAGATTGTTGACATGCACTATTCTCTAGCTACCACAATAATTTTCTCCCATTACCACACCTTATTTTACTTAAAAAAAAAAATTATAAACTACTTATTTTAATTGTGTGTGTGTGTCTATAGTACAACCTATTATATTAAAAAAAAAAAAAAAAAAAAAAAAAAAAAAAAAAAAAGGCTTGACTCAACTGACTCTCAGCCATAAGAGTGATCTGCAATATGACAATTAAAATAGTTGTGCCTCCCATCAGTTCAATATAATGGTATTCCAGAGTAATTGTTACAAATACATAAATACATGTTGGGTTCTACAGCCCCATAACACATACATTTTATATATTGCCAATGAAAACATTTTACACTTCTAAACAAATGTGGTGTTAATATATCACTTGCCTTAAGGTTCATAATGGGAAATATAATATACAGTAGACTGTTATATTACACGATAGTTACGTTCCTGAAAATGCCATGTTAAGTAAAACTGAGTTAGATAAACTGAAGAACTTAAGGAAAAATTGGGTTATGTTCCTCAGACCCCAAAAGGCCAAACATTTTTTTTCAGACCAACAGATCTTGCAAAAATGTAAGTGAATATGTAATTGTAGTTAATTGTCATGATATACAGGTCTCCCTCAACATTCGCGTTTTCCACTTTCGCGGGCTTCGAACATTCACTTATTCCCAGCCGCCAAATCATATTTATGTTGAGGGCTTTGAAGGTGAAGAATGACATTGATAGAGGCATAATTCCCTATAAAACTCTGAACATAAGAACATAAGAATGGAGGAACACTGCAGAAGGCCTACTGGCTCATACAAGGCAGGTCCTTATCAAAACGACCTCTACCAAAAGCTACCCAAGGATTAACTCCCGTATCTAATGACACTAGTCAAACTCAGCCCCTCCCACTCATATATTTGTCCAATCTCTTCTTAAAGCTACCCAAGGTCCTAGCCTCTACCACCCCACTGGAAAGATTGTTCCACGCATCCACAACTCTGTTAGAAAACCAGTACTTACCTATGTCCTTTCTAAATCTAAATTTTTTTTTTATTATTATCACACTGGCCAATTACCACCAAGGCAGGGTGGCCCGAAAAAGAAAAACTTTCACCATCATTCACTCCATCACTGTCTTGCCAGAAGGGTGCTTCACATTACAGTTTTTAAACTGCAACATTAACACCCCTCCTTCAGAGTGCAGGCACTGTACTTCCCATCTCCAGGACTCAAGTCCGGCCTGCTGGTTTCCCTGAACCCCTTCATAAATGTTACTTTGCTCACACTCCAACAGCACGTCAAGTACAGTGGACCCCCGGTTAACGATTTTAATCCGTGCAAGAGGGGTAATTGTTATGCGAAATAATCGTTATGTGAATGAATTTTCCCCATAAGAAATAATGGAAATAAAATTAATCCGTGCAAGACACCCAAAAGTATAAAAAAAATTTTTTTTACCACATGAATATCATTTTCCCACCCCAAAGAGAAGGTACATGCAAAAATTTTAGTTACATGCACGTATATATTGTGCATGTCTAGTCTACAAATGAAGAATAAATGACACTTCCTTTATTGAAGATGCGCAATGACTGATGAACACTGGGGCCTGGGAGTCCCCTTTCCTCCGAGTACTGTAGTACTTTTTGGCTTTTCTTCCAGAACAGGCCTTTCACACTGTGTATCCCCACACGTTTCTTAAATCTCTAAAACCCAAACCCTTTTGCGGCTTTAAATTCACCAATAAACCTATTCCAGGCATTTTTCCCTGTCACCGGGGTTATCGACTTGGTGGGTTGCATCCGGGAGACAAATTTGGACCCCAATGGAAATAAGTTTTGACAGTCTTCGATGACATGCTTTTTTTGGGTTATCCTGGGTGGAAAACCTTGGGGGTTAATTGTTTCTTGGTATTCTCATAAGCCACACCCAAAAACGGTGCTACAGCGCGCAGCAGTGACAGTGCAGCAGCGCAGCAGCACAGCTGTACCACCAATATACGATGGTTGATTGGGGGTTTTTTATCAACCCGGCCAGCTCGGGGACATGCCCCATTTTTATATTATCAATGATCTTTTTTTTCTCTCATTGTAATTTTTCCCCCCTTATTGCTGTAGGGTTGGCACTAGAACTTTCTTGGGGCCCTGGTCACTTATTTTCCGAAAAAGCACCCAAAAAATGTAATAAAACAAATATTGATTTTTGCTTGGATGTTACCGCGGAGGCTGGCTGGTGAACAATGCCACCGGCGGAACATGTGAGCGTGGCTCAGGCCGCACATTGGACGCGTCTCGGACGAAAATCGGTAAGCGGGTTTTTAAGCGGTTTGCGAGGCAAAATTTTTTGCAATTAAAGTAAGCGGTATGCGAAATAATCGCTATGTGATGCCATCGTTATGCGGGGGTCCACTGTATTAAAAATCATTTCTCTCCATTCACTCCTATCAAACACGCTCACGCATGCCTGCTGGAAGTCCAAGCCCCTCGCACACAAAACCTTCTTTACCCCCTCCCTCCAACCTTTCCTAGGCCGACCCCTACCCCGCCTTCCTTCCACTACAGACTGATACACTCTTGAAGTCATTCTGTTTCGCTCCATTCTCTCTACATGTCCAAACCACCTCAACAACCCTTCCTCAGCCCTCTGGACAACAGTTTTGGTAATCCCGCACCTCCTCCTAACTTCCAAACTACGAATTCTCTGCATTATATTCACACCACAACATGGCCCTCAGACATGACATCTCCACTGCCTCCAGCCTTCTCCTCGCTGCAACATTCATCACCATGCTTCACACCCGTATAGGAGCGTTGGTAAAAACTATACTCTCATACATTCCCTCTTTGCCTCCAAGGACGAAGTTCTTTGTCTCCACAGACTCCTAAGTGCACCACTCACCCTTTTCCCTCATCAATTCTATGATTCACCTCATCTTTCATAGACCCATCCGCTGACACGTCCACTCCCAAATATCTGAATACATTCACCTCTCCATACTCTCTCCCTCCAATCTGATATTCAATCTTTCATCACCTAATCTTTTTATCCTCATAACCTTACTCTTTCCTGTATTCACCTTTAATTTTCTTCTTTTGCAACACCCTACCAATTCATCCACCAATCTCTGCAACTTCTCTTCAGAATCTCCCAAGAGCACAGTGTCATCAGCAAAGAGCAGCTGTGACAACTCCCACTTTGTGTGTGATTCTTTATCTTTTAACTCCACGCCTCTTGCCAAGACCCTCGCATTTACTTCTTACAGCCCCATCTATAAATATATTAAACAACCACGGTGACATCACACATCCTTGTCTAAGGCCTACTTTTACTGGGAAATAATTTCCCTCTTTCCTACATACTCTAACTTGAGCCTCACTATCCTCCTAAAAACTCTTAACTGCTTTCAGTAACTAACCACTTGCAACATCTGCCACATTGCCCCCCTATCCACCCTGTCATACGAATTTTCCAAATCCACAAATGCCACAAAGACCTCTTTAGCCTTATCTAAATACTGTTCACTTATATGTTTCACTGTAAACACCTGGTCCACACACCCCCTACCTTTCCTAAAGCCTCCTTGTTCATCTGCTATCCTATTCTCCATCTTACTCTTAATTCTTTCAATAATAACTCTACCATACACTTTACCAGGTAAACTCAGCAGAACTTATCCCCCCTATAATTTTTGCACTCTCTTTTACCCCCTTTGCCTTTATACAAAGGAACTATGCATGCTCTCTGCCAATCCCTAGGTACCTTACCCTCTTCCATACATTTATTAAATAATTGCACCAACCACTCCAAAACTATATCCCCACCTGCTTTTAACATTTCTATCTTTATCCCATCAATCCCGGCTGCCTTACCCCCTTTCATTTTACCTACTGCCTCACGAACTTCCCCCTCACTCACAACTG